TTTTTTTTCTGAAAGAAAGGCCCATGTGCAAAGTCACTATCCCAGTGGTGGTAAGAGAACCACAGGAATTGAGACTGCGCCTAGCGGGTCGCTCGATCTATTGGTGGGGAGCCTCACCTGATGGAAACCGGGCCGGTTACCAACTCGTGTCACACGACTTTCAAACTGGTTTCGCTGCATGGTTCGCTGGGCAGTTGCTCATCCACTCCCCATGCTGATTCTTTGTGCAGGTCCTCTTCCCCACACAGTCGCCGTGTCACACGACTTTCAAACTGGTTTCGCCGCATGGTTCGCCGCGCAACACCTGACACCTATGTTGACCACAGTCAGCATCAGCCGCCCTCACAATCAAACGCAGCCGGCCCGCCCTCTCCTGTTATCCAAGCTAAAATGGCAGACTATAATGTGGATACGCCAACTCATTTGGAGACCAAACCAGCCGCAATAAACGATGTTTACATTACGGAAGTGGCTGTAAGGGATTAAGGCCAGCATCCTACCAACACGGCGACTGTTGCCGGTGCTCCTGAAGGTATACCTCCTTCGCTGCCCGTGCCGCCACCTCCGCCGCCGCCCCCACCCCCACCACCACCACCAACACCAACACCAACACTGTTAGCATCATCATCAGCAGCAGCAACACCACTGCTCTCCCACGGACGTCTTCTATTGCAGCATTGTCTCAGTTATCTGCCTCTTCCTCGTCTTCCTCCCCTACTTCTTCTTCCTCTTCTCCCTCTTTCTCTTCTCCCTCTTCCTCCCCTCCCTACAATACTTCCTCGTCATCAACCTCATCTTCTACGCATTCATGGTCAGATTGGCCATCACAGAGGCCCTGTCGACCGAGGCATCCACTGTCAGATCGATCGTTACAGATACCTCTTTGGCGGACACGGTCCCCGTCTCCACCGCTGCTTGCAAGACAGCGGCCTCGTTTGTCCTTGAACGGCATGGTGACCATGCCCCCGCTGCAGGGGTTAAAGACCGGGTCTGACGACATGCTCGCAACCGTGCGGAACGACAATGTTGCTCTCAA